GCGTCAGCCTAGCTCACAGCAACCTCAAACTCCTGGGCTCGAGTGATCCTTCTGCCTCAGCCTCCCGGGTAGCTGGGACTACAGGCATGCGCCACCATGCCCGGCTAATTTTTTTTTATATATATATCAGTTGGCCAATTAATTTCTTTCTATTTATAGTAGAGACGGGGTCTCACTCTTGCTCAGGCTGGTTTCGAACTCCTGACCTTGAGCAATCCGCCCGCCTCGGCCTCCCAAGAGCTAGGATTACAGGCGTGAGCCACAGCGCCCGGCCTGTTACTTGTTTTTGTGAGTAGAGCAAGGCTGATCTGCAGTTAGTGGTGAGGAACATGGCAGGTGGTGAATCAGGCAGCTTCTCCCTCTTGGACTTGATGCTTTGCTTTTGGCTTCAGTAACAGTGGGATGCCAAAGGCTCCATCACAGGTACCACAAGGTGGAGGAATTAAAGAATAGCTCAGAGGAAGCAACAGATTATTTCCTAGTGACTCCACCCTTCCCCCTTGTCAGCAATAGTGAGTTGACAGATGTTTGTAGCTTCCTGCAGCATTTGGTTCCAGCTGCACGAGTGGCATGGCAGTAGTGGGAACACTGTGTTCTCCACCTGCTCCTCATGTTCAGACCAGTGAGCGAGTGTTTAGGTACAGTCTGTGTCTGAGGGGGAGGGCCGCACTTCTATTTGTGAAGGTCTTGTTACAGCCTAGGAGTCCAGGCTAATGGGGTCATGTTGTTTTTTCTTAGGTGGGTCTTCAAAAAAAAAAAAATAAGAAAGAAAAGTAAGCAATTCATACTTTACCCAGCTACCTGCCTTCGGTTAGATGAAGTTGCCATCACAGTAAGACAGAGATGTCAAGGTAAATTTTGGTGTTGCCTGACACTTTAATTTTAGATATAATCCCAGGACAAACAGATTATTTAGCTTGAGAAGCTTTCATTTGTTGATAAATTGCCTAGTTGATTGTTATAAATAGAAAATATTTCTCTACTTGTTCTTTTTATGGGGGAGGGGAGGTGGAGAGAGAGAGAGAAAGAATGAGAATGAATGAAAGAAACCTATACCTGTATCTCTGAACTACTTAAGATACCTCAACTAAATCCTGACTTTGTAATGAAATGCTAGCCATTTTAGCCACTGACTTCTGGGCCTCTTACCTCTTTGGTAGCATCATTGTAAGTATAATCCATATTTATTCACTCATTCATCCAACATACAAACATTTGTCAAGTATCCATGCTAGTGTGTCTTATATTTTAGCATTTATTGAATTACTCAGGTATTTGTTAAAAATGCAAGTGCCAGGCCTCACCTTCATCCTATTGACTCAGAATCTTCAAGAGGCAGATTCCAGAAATATGATTTCTTAAAAAGCCCATTTTAGATGTGCTCTGGGAATATGGAGATGGAAAGGACAGTTTTTTGCCCTTGCTGGATGACTGTACATATGAATAGGTAAGCCAGACCAATAAAAGTTCACCCATGCAATGGTAAAATATGTATGACACCCATGAGAGGGAGAGGTTGCTTCCACCAAGAGGAAGCCAGCGATTCAGGGGCTGCCCAACCATTGCTTGCTCATAGTGTAGTGCTTGCTCTCCGTCAGACTGGTTGTTGGGAAATGCTGTCTTATGTAGAGTGTGCTCGATGTTGTGTCAGATGTGGAAGGAAGGAATACATCTGGCCCTCAAGTGTCCTGCTCTGGTAGCCATGCATGGGCTGGGAGGACAGGGAGAGGGGGGATTTATCAACTTGTCAACTCTCATTTCCAATGAAGCTCTTGCACATTCCCCTTTGGCAGTGTGCTAGAGGGCACAGATTCACAGTAAGGGAGTGAGAAAGTTCGTCAGGCTTACAATCAGGAAGCATGGGGTCTGGGTCTGACCCTACCACTGATTAGCTGGGCAGTTTACTTAGCCTTTTGCCTTTCTTTCCCCATCTATAAAGGTAGATAATAGTATCTACATTGTAGGATTATTTAGAAAATCATATAATATATAGTATATAAACTGCTTGTCATTGTGCCTGGTATGTGATCAGTGCTAATAAATAATATTTATTTTTATTAATAATAGAAGTAACAGTGGACGCCCATTTGTATGCATGGAGGTGACTCTTCCTCAGGCCATGAAAGCTGTTGGCTCTGCCCCAGCTCCCTGGAGGGGTATGGCACTGTCCTAGCAGTCCCATTGGCCCGGGGCAGTGATTTTCAATCTGAGCCCCATCCTTTCTAGCTCAGATTGGCTTCATCAAAGTCCCCAGGTAATTTCGACACTCTCTCCTTCCTCCACCAGGGCATTTGCTTATCTTTCCCGCCCACCGCTGAGATTTACTGCTTTGGTGAATCTTCTGCAGAGTGTGTACATCAGCATCTCCTAAAGAGCTCTGTTAAAATACACACACTGCATCCCATCTTGGACTGGATGAATCATAATTTCCCTGGCAGGGCATGGGTAAGTGTATTTTATCTTCCCAGGCAATGCTGATATACAGGCCTGGTTGAGAATTATTGTCTTGGTGGATGTCGCTCTGCTCAGCACTGTCTCACTCAGCCAGCACAGCATGAAATCTGCTAGCAAAAATTAATGATGTCCATGCAGCTTTTCAAAGCTCAGATACCATGTGTGGAAACAAAGGAGGCAAAACTCTTGGTGATGAGGTGACAGGAGGAAGAACTCTGTATATAAAGGGGCTCTGTATATAGCTTTCCATGTGATGTACATTTCATGGTATTTAATAAGAGGCAGCAGTTGTTATTATTATTAATTGCTGTGTAGTGGCCTCAGGGTCTCTTGTTCCTTGAAAGACTTGTTTCCATTTTAGGAGAAAAGACTTCACATCCGGGAATTAAACAAGCTGGCTGTTTGGGAAGCCTTTAGAAAATGTGACAAGAGGTGTCAAATGCAGGCTAGCAGCAGAAATTTCAAGAAAGGAAAGCACTGTAGACTTTGTTTTTATTTCACCTTTTGCTTCTGAAATTAGATAGGAAGGAGAGCAGTACGTTAGAAGCTGATGTGGAGATGGGAAGTGAAAGTCCCCCAAGACTCAGTCTCCAAGTTCTGTGAGCAACACGACAAACCCCAGATTGCCATAGACTTTGATTTTTGTCTCTCTTAGCATTCATACTTGAGATCTGGGGCTTTTGGTTGCTGTGGGAAAATCAGTGTAGCCATATTTCCAACTGAGCCTTCTGGCAACATCCTACCCCCTGCCAAGAGACTCAGCGCAGAGACTTGTGTAGAAGGTGGGAAATGATCCACTAACAGGGAGGATATTCTGTTTTCTTAGCTTTCTTTATATTCTTCAGAAAGGCAGGTTAGAGAGGGTTCTCAGAACTAAGCCTGGAAGGGGAGGTCAGCCCAGTGGGGCAAAGACTAGGAGATAAAAGTACTGAAGTCAAATGAGACATATATGCAATACGTTGGAAAGAACAGACTTCAAGACTATCCACCAAAGAGCAGCAGCATCAATAATTGTATTGCTGCTGGGGGCTGTAGACATCAGCTGGAATGGAAGGTGATGCTCAAGGCCCTTAATTTAGTCCCCGACTCCCAGCCAGACCTGAGAATGCACCTGGCTCCACTCTTCAATCTTTGGAAGTCCAGCTTAGGTGTCAGACATAAGGGACTTCGGTTGAGTGGTTCCTTAAATATGACAACTTTTCTTTAGGTCTGCTCTCTCTCCTCTGACATTTCCTATCCTCCTGAACTTTATCCTTACACTGCTTGCTGCTCATTTGAAAAGTGGAGAAAGCATAGCACAAGCTGGTACTCTAGTGACTGTTAATCTATCACAGGACATCTAGCACACACGGAAAAACTTGACATGCACCCCACCCCCTTGCTGTTCTTATTAGAGAGAACGTGGAAAATATTATCTCTTCCTTGGCCAGCACCCTCCCCTTACTGAAAGATGGTGTGTGTGCCTCTGAATGGGGGTGGGTGGGGAGTGAGCTTAACTTTAGCATCTCCACAAAGACATAATGGTTCCCAGCAGGCAGAAGCTGGGCAACAGAGAGGCAGGATCCAGGCCTCTCTCGGATCTGCAGAAAGGGTGGGCTGTGCAGGTCCAGGTAGGAGGCCAGTCTTGGGCTGCAGTCCCTGCTGAGCCCTTCCTGATGTGACTTTATTAGACAAATTCTCCCTCTCGCAAAGGGTAGACATACAAGAGTATCTTTTGTAGGAAGATTTCTGCAACATGACAAAGTGAAATTTAAAATCTGGGTTTGTTTTTCCTGAGCTTAGACCCAAACTTGTCCTGTGATAGGAGAAGGCGCTGTAGGCAGAGGACAGAAGAAACAGAAAGAGGCGCCGGGTCGCTTCCCAGCCGTGACGACTAGCGGCCAGCAGGTGTCAGTGCGCACTCGCTCTGCGGAGGCGCGCGGCCTCTGCCTCCGGGACCCCTCCCCAGCGCGGCCTAAGGGGGCGCGGTCCAGACCCCGGGACGCGTGCGTCTCGCGGACAGCTCTGCGGCTGGGAGGACATGTGGCCGCTTCTTCCTCAAGCTGAAGTCTTAACTCTGGCCTGTCCCGCTCCCCCATGGGTGCTGCCTATTCCGCCCCAGAGGTTCGACTTGTACCCACGCCTTCCTCCCTCTCTAGACCCTTCTCGCCCCCGCCTCCAGGAGCACCTGCGGACGGAGGCGGCGGGGTCTCGGGCTGAGCTGCTACGGATGCGACCCATACCGGAGGCTGCTTCTCCCAGTTAGGGTTCCCCTCCACCCTTTCCTCCCAGGACCCAGTTCGATAGGGGCACTCACGGGTGCCCGCTGCTTTCTGTTGGGCGGGTCCGGAGCTGCACGGCCAGCTCCCAGCAGCGGCCACTCCCCACTCCCCCGGCTCTCTCTTTAAGCCCCTCGCTCACGGTACCTGCCTTTCCAAGGGGCCTGTCCAGCCAGGAGGGCAATGTTCCCTGGGGTCCGGCGCTGGGCGCGGGCGCTAGACTGGCGGAGGGGTGGTGCGAGGGGCGGGGGAGGGTCGGCTTCCCACGTGGGGGCTGACGCTGGCTGCTCGGCAACGCCGGCTTGATCCTGGGGCTATAAAACGAGTCCACCGCGAGCGCAGCGGAGCAGCAGCAGCCGGCTCGCCGCCGCCCCAGCACTTCAGCGCCTTCCTACCCCGAGCCCTGCGCTCCTGCGCCAACTCACGCTGTCCTCGGACCCCCGCCCGTCTGGCCGCGCTCAGCGCCCACTGGGCCAACGCCCAAGAGACCCCCTGCCCCGGCCGCGGCTCCTGGAGGGCCGATCGCTCACCTGCTCCAGCCCGCCTGAGGACGGGGGCGCCTTCATGCGGTCCCCACACCCCTCAACCCGCCGCTGCCGCCGTCCCCGAGCTCCGCGCGCTGCGCCCCAGCCCCAGCAGGGCGCGCAACTTTGGAAGTCCCGTGGCGCTCCGAGAGGCGGCAGAGTCGGCGCCCTAGCCCCGGGCCCCCGGCCCGCGCCGCACCGCAGCGTCTGGGGGAAAGGAGAGAGTCAGTAATCGCTTCAGGGATATAAGGAGACAGACTGTAGGACCCCGAGCTCGCACCAGCGCCCTTCGGCTGCCTCCCGGGGTAGGGGCGGGCCCCGCACACGGTAAGACTTCTTGTTTTCGCTCAGGCTCAAGAGTCATATATATGTTTAATTTCCTGTCACCCTTCCAAGTTTATCAGGCCACCGATAATTTTTGTTCTCCCTTCTTGAAGAATAAATCGCTCTTTATCCATCGGCTCTCCCTACTCTCTCCCGCCGCTTAGAAATAAAACTTGGCTGTGCTTAGGAGCTTGGAGCGGGAAGGCGCCCACCGGGAGCGTCCGAAGCGCAGGCCCGGAGCCGTTCGCTGGAGCCGGGCCCATGGGCCGCTAGCGGTCCCCCAGCGTGGGCCTGGCCTCCCTGCGGCCCCCTCCCTATGTGAGCCGCGGCCGGGCAAGCGGGGCGCCGGAGGAAGAGGAGGACCCACGGGCGCCCGGCCGGAAGGCAGCTGGCAGCAGGCCCGGGCGAGCGGGCGTCCGCGTTCATGTTCCGCCAGGAGCAGCCGCTGGCCGAGGGCAGCTTTGCGCCCATGGGCTCCCTGCAGCCGGACGCGGGCAATGCGAGCTGGAACGGGACCGAGGCTCCGGGGGGCGGCGCCCGACCCACCCCTTACTCCCTGCAGGTGACGCTGACGCTGGTGTGCTTGGCCGGCCTGCTCATGCTGTTCACTGTGTTCGGCAACGTGCTCGTCATTATCGCTGTGTTCACGAGCCGCGCGCTCAAGGCACCCCAAAACCTTTTCCTGGTGTCTTTGGCCTCTGCCGACATTCTGGTGGCCACGCTCGTCATCCCTTTCTCGCTGGCCAACGAGGTCATGGGCTACTGGTACTTTGGGAAGGTGTGGTGCGAGATCTACCTGGCGCTCGACGTGCTGTTCTGCACGTCGTCCATCGTGCACCTGTGCGCCATCAGCCTGGACCGCTACTGGTCCATCACGCAGGCCATCGAGTACAACCTGAAGCGCACGCCGCGCCGCATCAAGGCCATCATCGTCACCGTGTGGGTCATCTCGGCGGTCATCTCCTTCCCGCCGCTCATCTCCATCGAGAAGAAGGGCAACAGCGGCGGCCAGCAGCCGGCCGAGCCACACTGCAAGATCAACGACCAGAAGTGGTACGTCATCTCGTCGTGCATCGGCTCCTTCTTTGCGCCCTGCCTCATCATGATCCTGGTCTACGTGCGCATCTACCAGATCGCCAAGCGTCGCACCCGCGTGCCGCCCAGCCGCCGGGCTCCGGACGCTGCCACCGCGCCACCCGGGGGCGCGGAGCGCAGGCCCAACGGCCTGAGCCCGGAGCGCGGCGCGGGCCTCGCGGGTGCGGAGGCGGAGCCGCTGCCCATCCAGCTAAACGGCGCCCCCGGGGAGCCGGCGCCGGCCGGGCCGCGCGAGGCCGACGCGCTGGACCTGGAGGAGAGCTCGTCGTCCGAGCACGCCGAGCGGCCCCCGGGGCCCCGCAGACCCGAGCGCGGCCCCAGGGCCAAGGGCAAGGCCCGGGCGAGCCAGGTGAAGCCCGGGGACAGCCTGCCGCGCCGCGGGCCGGGGGCGACTGGGGCCGGGGCGCCGGCGGGGCCCGGGGAGGAGCGCGGCGGGGGCGCCAAGGCGTCGCGCTGGCGCGGGCGGCAGAACCGCGAGAAGCGCTTCACGTTCGTGCTGGCCGTGGTCATCGGCGTGTTCGTGGTGTGCTGGTTCCCCTTCTTCTTCACCTACACGCTCACGGCCGTCGGCTGCTCCGTGCCGCGCACGCTCTTCAAGTTCTTCTTCTGGTTCGGCTACTGCAACAGCTCGCTGAACCCGGTCATCTACACCATCTTCAACCACGACTTCCGCCGCGCCTTCAAGAAGATCCTCTGCCGCGGGGACAGGAAACGGATCGTGTGAGCTCTCCGCTCGTGCCCCGCGTAGACTCTCGCCGACCACGGACAACCGGCATCGAGGAGGGGCGCGTCTACGCAAACCCCAGCACTCGGAAACCCAGGACCTGCCTACTCTGCGTTTCCTGACTGACTTGGGGGGTGCTCTGTGGCCTCCTGCGAGCATATGCTGGTCCTACAAGGGAAAAGTTCTGGCTGGAACCAATTGTTGCTACGGCCCTCGTGACCTGGAGCCAGCTTCTTGGTGGGCCGTCCCCAATCAGTATTGTTTCCTAAAGGTGTTTTCACCCTCTCTCCCAGGGTCCCGCCCTCGAAGCTTTTGAGAGCAAGCCCTGAACTACAGAGGGCATGGCTTACAAAGGGTTAATGAATGGGAGTTACCTGCTCTGGCTAATTCCCCCTCACCCTCACACTCTTAAAAAACAACAACAACAACAAAAACTGCTTAGGGCAGCCCTGCCCACCCTCCCCAACCCCCCACTGTAAATACACACTATTTTTGATAGTACACCCGGGGCCCCCATGTCGGTGGGCCCTGGTTTTGATGTTGGCATCCTGGCCTTCTGAGGTATGCACTCCAGGCAGACACTGCGTCTGGTTCAGGCCAAGCCCCTTTGCGATGCAAGCCCTCTTCTGGTGTTATGTCCCTCTGTGTCCTTTTCACCAGCAACTGGTGACTTGCTTTGAGGTTTCCTGACAGGGAAAAGATTTCTGTCCATTTTTTTTTTCCTGTGCCTAACAGCATAATTGCCTTTTCCTATGTAAATATTGTAACGATGGATCAAGATGCATCAGCCCTGGGTATAAAGCCATTATCCTCTGATGCACCGGTCGCCCCAGTGACTCCCTTTAAAACCGTCTCTTTCCGGTGCCCCCTCTCTCCCTCCAGGGCCGCTGCTTGAAGAAGGATATGTATGTTTTCTATTGTGTATGTATGTGCTGCCCCTTCCTCCCCGAGAGCGCTGACTATGGGGGAAATCTTTTAGCTGCTGTTTTTAGACACAGAGGAGTGGAAATTATGTGGAAGAAGCAAACCTGATACACCTTGCCCAAGGTCAACAGTGTGGAAAGACAAATGAGCCTGCCAAACTGTACGGTTCCTGCCCCCAGAGCTCTTAGGTATCAAAGCGTTGTCTTTCCCGCCTCCCTGCTCTTCTGGTGGAGATCCTGTCCCTGATGGACTGCCAGAGGCAGGGGAGGAGGTGGAGACCTTGTGTTTACATCTGTGTTTCTACACGTTTCAGACAGAGACAATTCAAGGCTCTTATTTCACTAAGGAAAAACTAATGTCAGCACATGTTGCTAATGACAGTGGATTTTTTTTAAAATAAAAAAGTTTACAGATCAAATGTGAAATAAATAAGAATTAAATGGTTCTCCTGTCTGTTATCTGAGTTTTCAAAAGCTTTAAGACTCTGGGATCATCTGATTTTATGTATTTTTTTAAAAATAAAAAATACACATACATTACAAAATACTTTTAAACGTGCAGTCAATAACAAAGCTGTCATTTACTAAAGTGTTTCTTAGGTACTAGAGGCTGCGGTGAATCTGTTGTAGGCATTGTCTCGTGTAATCATCCCCAGAACCCTATGAGGTAAGTCTATTGTTATCCCCATTTCGCAGGCGAAGAAAGTGAGTCTCAGAGGGCAAGTGATTTGCTCAAGGTTGATAGCGAGGGGTGGAAATGCACCGTATCCAGCTTTATGTGGTCCCAGGGTCTGTACTCCTAACTCCGGAGCGTTTCCAGAAACAGCATTAGCACTTCTCAGAACACTGCGCAGTGCAGTCCACACAAGGTGCGCTAGATACACGAGGCGAGGGATGCATCCCAAGCAAGCAGATATGTGCAAAGTGTGTACACGCCCCCGTGTCTATCAGCCCTCACGTGTATATACATACCTCAAAGTGTGTATCCACCCCAAAGGGCAGGATATTCTCCGGAATGTGTAGCACACCTGAAGGTGTGATAATATACACGTAGTATACACCTCATGGTGTGGTATATGCACACGCGTGGTATAGACATCTCAATAGAAGCATGCAGTAGCTGGTGGCTCAAATTGTCTGTGGCCAAGGCCCCACCTCCTTCTTGCTTCATTGCTGTAATATCAAAGCCTGCCCTGTTGTCCAGGAGGGTCCAGTAAGGTCCTTGTACTATGCTTAGGGCACTTGGAAGGGCCCCTGGAGATCCAGGAATCCCACCCCTCATCTCATGGAAGAGGAGGCAGGTCCAGGAGGAAGTGACTTGTTCAGGATCTCGCAGCTCTGGGGGCCAGTGCTCTGGAACAGCTGAGCGGGTGTGTGGTAGTTCCGTGCGTACAGTCAGACGCAGCCACTGAGTGTGCGTGGAGTCAGGTTTGAGAGGCAGACACAAGAGCCAGGTTGCAAAAGCCCAGCACCTGCCACGTGTGTGCAGACCAGCTCTGTGTGTCCCCTGGAAGCAGGTCCTCTGCACCCTCTGGGCAGCATGTGCTGCATCTCCTCATCTTCCTAACTCCTTTGGCATGGTGTGTGTGGGGGTGTGTATGTGAGGGTAGGAGGGTGGAGAGCCCTGAGACGTGACCTGGGCATGGAGGGGCCTGGGAGAATGAAGACACTGGTTCTGAGGGGGTGAGGAGTTCCCGCCGTCACGTGGGTCCTCCGAGCCTGCAGACAGGAGGGTGGGCAGGCGCTCGAGCCTGCAGACAGGAGAGTGGGCAGGCGCTCGGCTCTGGCGACCCTTGCTCAAGGCTTCACAGACCAGCCTCCTGGCCTTGGCGCCAGGGCTGGCTCCCTGGCCTGGCGCTGTGGCCTGCTCCCCGCCTCCACCCCAGCCTCTCATCTCCCTCCCCACTCCAGGACACCCATCGCCCCAAAGGCAAACAGTGCCAGACAATAGGCCAGCCTGGCAGGCCCCCAGGCCCGACCATGTCCCAGCCACAGCGGCAGATACAAACACTGCACGCTGTTGACTCTCTCTGTTCTGCCCTGTCTGCAGAGAAGTGTTTGCCTTGCCTCCACCCCCAGAGGCCTGCTGACTGGGAAAGAGGGAAGCATGGGCCATGGTGCCACCGGGAGGGGCCTCTAGTGTCATGTCCCCCTGCCCTCCACACAGCAGCGGAGAAGCCTCAGAGACAGATGGAGCCTGGGGAAAGTGGGGGAGAGAGGGCTGGAGCCCCAGCGTGGTGCTGGGTTTCTGAGTCCACAGTAGGAATCACTGTTTGTTGCAAAGGGCTCAAGCAACAGTCTGCAGAGGTGTGGGGTGGGGAGGGGAAGTGAGGAGGAGAAATGGCTCCTGCAGGGATCTCAGCCCCAAGAGCAGGAGATGAAACCATAACCCCACAGCTTCCTGTTTGTAGCATCTGGTCCTGATGATCTGAGCCAACAGGGTCTGTCTTTGTGGCTGAATCTCCTATTTTATGTAACTTTGGTTGGGGTATCAAATCCATTGGCTTTCAGGTCTGAAGTGTGTCTTGCCAGATTCACTGCTGGCAAGTGAATGTGCTGGGTTGGGGACAGGGTCCTGCCTTCGTTGGAGCCTGGGTACAAGCACAACCTCTTCCTTCCCCAGGGTTTGTTCCATTTCTTCTGTGCCAAAGGGCTGGAGAAGAGAGTGAGGAAAACCTGGCTTAGGCTTTCCCTCTCTATGATTCTATAGTTCAATCAGTTTCAGGGCCAGGAGTGACCCTCGACTCCCAGCTTGTACTGATGATGTTACCTGAGACCAGAAGAGCTGGCTGGTTGTCTGCCTGTCCCTGCCCTCTGGAAGCTTTGGAGCTGAATGGGGAGACAGGTGTGTGTGTGTAAAGCACTAACTAGCCATGTACAGTGATAGTGTGGTGTGGGAGTGGGTGCCGGGGGCCCGCGGTGGGGAACAGGTATCTGTACTGTGAGTGTGCAGTGAGGGAGGGGTGGCTGTGGCTGGGAGCTCAGGGGTAAGAGGTGGGAATTGGGGTGTCCAGGCTTTGGCTGAGGGGGTGGGGCCGGGAAGGCAGCTCTGGTTCTAGCAGCTGAGCCCTGTGGGACCAGTGCCAGACCTGGGCAGTGGCACCCAGGGACAGGTCAGACCTCAGCCTTCATTTCTCCAACCTGATCCTTGAGGGTGGCATGGAAAGATCTTGTGCCCATTTGGGGACACCTGTTAGGAAGCCTACCTTCCTGACTCAGCAGGATCCAAGTACCCAGGATCCGAGTATAGCAGGACCCAGGGCCACTGCCCTCATTTCTGCCCTGGGCCCTGGCACCCCCGACAGTGCGCCTGGGAGTGTGGGGTGTGAGGGCACCTTCCTCAGCAGAGGGCGTGCCCGGGAAGAAGCCAGGTGAGGCCACTGAGTGCATTGACAAGCACTTGTGTTTGTTTGGAAATAGCACTGATCTGACTACCCGAAATCCTGGAATTTAGAGTTGCATACAAAAAAGGGATCATGGCTTGATCCTGAAAGAGCCCAGACTTAGGCATTAGTTCTAGTCCCAGTTTTGCCTTTTACCATCTATGCGACCTTGAGCCAACCCCTCTCTGAGTCCCTGTTTCTTCATTTATAAAATGAAAGTGGCCGGTGTAGTGCTATAGAAACTGGTCAACCAGCTGTTAGCAGGTAGCTCTCAGAGACCTCGCTGCGCCAGTGTGTCGAGACTCTCAGAGAGAGGACGACATGGTGAGCTGAGTTCCCCAACTCCCTGGACTGTGGGATTTCATTTTCCACAGAGCATCCCAGTGAATCCCCGCTGGGTAGTACTGGGTGGAGGAATCTCGCAGGGCTTTTCTGTTGATCCAACTTAAGATTCTTTGAAATGCTGGCCCTGTCCCCTCCTTCCTTCCGTCCCTCCCAGAGGGGAGGCCCAGTGGGCCATGCGCTCTCCTTAGACACGGTGGCTCCAAGGGCCGTTGGCCTCGTTGAGGCTTGGGGTTGAAGTGAGGACTTCATGTGTTTTTAAAATAAATGTTGGTTAAGCCTTTGTGTGTGTGCATGTACATGTGTATGTGCATCTGCGTGTCAGTGTGTGTGTGTGTGTGTGAGAGAGAGAGAGAGAGAACAGGTATAGCCTGTTTTAAAGGGACACGGAGGACCAGCTTGCTCACCTGGACCTAGAGCAGGAGCATCTGGGTGAGGTGAGGGCGTTAAAGGGGAGTGTGGTGGTGTCAGCTGATTCCCATTGCAGTTAGCCCTCCCCAGTGTGGGCTGGAATGTCACCTCTACCAGGGTGACAGATCCCAGGGAGAAGGCACACGGGATGATGGGACCAGGGCGCTTGGTGGGCCCAGCACTTGGTCTCTGGCAGCATTTTCTTTAGCCCCCTTGCTGTCCTGTCTTTGATGGAAGGGGAGTTTACCCTCCTACAGAGGATCTGGGGGTGTGGGAGGCCAGGTTGGAGAGGCCATTAATGTTCTTTCCAGCTTTTTCAAGGGCAGGGACTTGGGACCTCTTTAGACTCTATCTGAGTAAAACAAGGTGGCCCCCTGCAAAGGGATGAGTGAAGGGAGGTCTAAAGGGACTATTTATAAGGTGCAAGTGGGGTTTAGAGAAACTTGCAAGGGGCTCAGAAGCACCTTGGGACTTTCATGGTGGGAGGGAAGCTGTCACCACCTCAGGCTGGAAGGGGCAAGGGGAGGGAGCTGCTACCCCACCGTCAGAGCTGGGAATGTGGGGAAGCACGCTGGCAGGCATGATGGTAGAAGACCCCTGCAGCCACTGCCAAGCTGTCTGGGCAGGGAGGGAGCCAGGAGAATCAGCACCCTCACCACTGTCACCCACACCCTCAGCCAGAACTCAGAGTGCAGAAGGGAGTGAGAGTGAGGGAGCGGCTCAGAGGGCTCAGCCTTCCAGGCCCCCGCCATGGGTGGGGGAGAGGGAACAAGGGCAGGGATGGTAGCCCCAGGGGCTAGTAGAGCATGTCCTGCTAGGACGGAAGCCTGAGGAAGCAGAGTGATAGTTCTTTGGGCACAGACTGGAAGGAGGCCAGCTGCCTGGTCTCTGCAGTGTGTCCACAGGCCAGCTGCTCAGGTCACTGGGCATCTGCAGGAGAAAAACACAGGCCCTCCTGGCTCCCCGACTGTGCAGATACGAGGGTCTGTGTTGAGGTTGTTACGAGTGTGGCCAGACTGGGTTTGCATGCGTGCATGTGTGCACACACACATACATGCCCACACACCATCCTCTTTCCCATCATCCCTGCTACCTGGCGTGTTGGGTAAGAGAGGCCCCCAGTGAACTGTGTCACTGGCTCTTGGCCACAGTGCTCTGAGCTCTCCCCATCCCAAGGCTATGGCTCAGGCAGAGCGTAGGAGGCCAAGGAACAGACACTGAGCTGCCCAGCAGTGATGGTCCCTGGGGCTGGAGCCTGGGTGAGAGGAGGTGGTGACTGGCCCAGGTCAATGTCTCCCCCTGTCCCCTGGCTACAGTAGGACTTCTACTGCTCCTTTCTTAGTGCACTAGGAAACACACTTGAGGGATTGCTTTTTTTTTTTTTTTGAGACAGAGTCTCACTTT